TCTGCAGCCGCTGGGGAGCCGACAGCCTTCAATCGAAACTGGACTCGTTATGTTCTGATTCCTGGTTGCCGATGCTCCTGCACTCTGTTGTTGCGACTCACTGCTGCTGCGACTCACAGCAAGTGGCCCGTGAGTGTTTTTTGATCAGATGCTTCACATTATCTGCGTTAACAACCCGACTAACCCGATGCATCTCAAGGACCTTGTGCATGGTATGTCCTTTCTTGTTGATCAACGGTGTGGCGTTTGTGTGTATATATATGTATATATTCACACGCCTGATTCTATCACACGTCATGCAAACATGTTTTATGTGTGTACCAGTCTATGCTGTCCACCTCTTTGTTTCCCTCCCTCTCTGTCACTCTCTCCTAGGCCGGTAGCCATCAACATAGGTGTCTGCACGTTCTGGCACTTCTTCTGTCTGCTTCAGACTTTCACATCCAAAGGCGAGCTATAGCAGGAGTGTGACACAGACCACACAAACGCACGGCAGACTTGTAGGTGTTACAGGGGGCGGAAGTCTGCCGGCGGTGGAAACGATGAAACGTCGGCGGACGGCCTCACTTCTGTCGCAGGCATGCGCGCATGCCTGCCTTCGCACACCCAACTTAAGGGACCAATAATGGCACAAACATACAAACTCGGAGGTCCGCGCGGATTTCTTGGATCCGCGCTGGGCCCCCCCTACCTGGCGCGCGGAGCGCGCCAGGGGCGGCGCTGGAGGCGCCGCCAGGGGGGCCCAATGCGGATCCGAGAAATCCGCGCGGACCTCCGAGTTGTTATGTTTACGTCATTCTTCGTTTCCCTACAACTGTCGCGCCCGTGCTTTGTGAAGGCCAGTCGACAAGAAACCTTCCGCAAAAAGCCAAACCCTGAGGCCCCGGGACGTCCATCGATCTGTGGTGTGGGAACGTCACGCCTTCCATGGCACAACCATCGAAACCTGAGAAACCCCGGGCACCCTGGAACTTAGTGAGCCCTGGAAACGGCAGGGCCGTTTTCTCACCGTTTCCCCAAAAATGTCCCTTGAAAATGGAAACGGCAAACAAACGGCGACCGGAAACGGCCCCAAAAACGGCTCCATGGATTGGAGCCGGAGCCGGAACCGGTACCAACAACGGCGACGGAACCGGTACCGAAAATAGCGCCGGAACCGGCAGCAAAAACGGCAAAACGGAACCGGCAGAAAAACGGCCCTGTCGTTTCCAGGGCCCACGAAGCCCTGGAGGCAGGCAGGGCGCTTCTCGGCACGGGTCTCCGCCGCCTCTTCGCCCGGCCCTGCGGGCGGCGGCTCCCGGCCTGGAGGCCCCGTCGTGCCGGTGCGCCCAGGCGAGGTCGTGGTGCCGTGGCCACCTCGTGCCTGGCGCCGGCTCGGGCTCGGGAGGAAGCCTCGGCTGTCCCCTCGTCGCTTGGCGAGCCTGGGCAAAGGAAATTACTGACACATCATAAACAATGAGAGTCTTACCATATATATATATATATATATATATACATACACGCATATATATATATATATATATATATATACACACGTATATGCATACATCTATATCTACACACTTCGCGGGCGTCGGCATCCAAGAGACCCCCGCATCACGGCCAGATTGGGGGATGGACGCGACCACGAGACACGCCCAGAACGCCCTGTAGCAAAACGTGGTCTAGCGAAGACGACCTCGGGCCCAAGCCTGGCGAACGCAAGCCTGGAGTGAGCTGAGGCCGCGGCGCCCTCTCGGGAGCCGAAAGCGGGCAATGCACGAATCGACGTGTCAGGGTGGGGGTTCTGTCCACCCCCGAAGTACACCTGGAAAAACAGCTGGGCATAGACGGAAAACTCATGTATGCCATATATGTATATATATATATATATATATATATTGTGGCATATCTACAGATATGTGTATATCATATACATACTGGAGGGTCTACTGGATCCACATAAACACAGTCTGCTTGTTCTCCTGAAGGCAGATCGACAGGAGAAGGCCCCGGGAGAACAGCCTTGCTCAGCAAAGAAGGCCACCAAATATAGGCCGCACACACCTTGAAGCCCAAGATCACCAATCCTCTGGTCAGTGGCTTCCGCCACCATGCCGCTGGCCACGGAGTGGGCGGATCCTCAGGCCCTTCACCCAATCCCCTGAGCCTCAGTCAACAGCCTTGCTCAGTAACGAACGACCACCAGAGATAGGCCGCACACACACACACTTTGAAGCCCAATCTCACCAATCCTCTGGTCGGAGGTTTCCGCCACCGTGCCGCTGGGCACGGAGTGGGCGGATCCTCAGGTCCAAATCCCCTGAGCCTCAGTCCTCAGTCCTGAGGACTGTTTTAGGGGTCCGGGCCCGGATTTCAGAAACCTCTTGGGGCTTGGCGCGTGCGCCCTGGGGTTCCCAGGCACCTTGTCGCATGATTTCTCGGGCCCAAGAGGGCCCCAAGACGGCCGAGAGAGTCTAAAGAGGCCCCCCAAGACGGTCCAAGAGGGCCCCGAGTCGCCGAACGATCGCTCCAAGGCGCTCCAGATGGCCTCCAGACGGCACAAGAGGCCTCCAAGACGCCCAAAGAGGCCTCCAAAAGGCCCCCCAAGAGGGCCCCAGGAGGCTCATTTGTATTCCTTAGGTGTTCGAAGGTTTTTGGCTTGCTCGCCTTTTCGGCTTCCCGACGTTCCCAGACGGCCCTAGAGGCCCCCAAGACCGCCCCAAGACGGCCCAAGAGGCCTCCAAGAGGGTCCCAAGACGGCCAAAGAGGGCCCCAAGACGGCCCAAGACGGCCCAAGAGGGCTCCGAGACAGCCCACTAAGGTGCCCAAGGAAGGGAACACGAACCGAAGATCCGAGCCTGCCGCCCCCAGATGCCCCCTGGCGGCCACAGGAGGCGACGAACAGGACGACGCAGTCGACCACGGACGACAACGACTCAGAACGTACGACGACGACGACGACGACGACGACGACGACGACGACGAGTGACGACGACGCACGACGACGGCGGGCGGGACCCTAACGTGCTGGTCGGGCGGGCGGGACCCTGACGTGCGGGGCGGGCGGGTGGGGCGGGCGGCACGCAGAACTTTCGAACGGACGTGGACCCCGTCGGGCGGGTCGGGCGACCGGGACCCCGTCGGGCGGGCCGGGGCGGGCGGGGTGATCCAGCGGGCGGGCGGACTTTCCCCAAGCACTCGGGCGGGCGGGGCCACAACTCGGGATCGGCAAAGAGGGGGGCGTCCAAGAGGAGGGGGGGGGCGCAAATCATGGCCAGCGGCATGTGCGCGGCTCATGGGGGGTGGTCAGGGACGTAACGAAAAAAGGAGAGGCGTCATGAAGTCAGAAGAAATATCATGGCCCACGCAATGATGTCCAGACCCCCAAATAATCACCCCCTGTTGGCCGCCCCCGAATGACGGGCGGATTCGGCGTGGGCCAGGACGTTCAAGCGGGCGGGCGGGCTTTCAAGCGTTCGAGCGGGTAGTGGATCACGGTTTGTCGTCGTCAGCGCCGTCGTAGTCGTCGTCGTCGTCGTCGTCGTCGTCGTCGTGGTCGTGGTCGTGGTCGTGGTCATGGTCGTGGTCGTGGTCGTGGTCGTGGTCGTGGTCGTGGTCGTCGTCGTCGTCGTCGTCGTCGTCGTCGTCGTCGTCGTCGTCGTCGTCGTCGTCTCCGTCTTCGTCGTCTTTGTCGTCGTCGTCGTCGTCGTCGTCGTCGTCGTCAATGTCAGTGTCAGTGTCAGCGTCGTCGTCGTCGTCGCCATTGTTGTTGTTAGCATCGTCGTCCTCCTCAGAGTCGTCGTCGCCATCGCTTTCGTCGTATTCGTCCTCGTCGTGCGTCGTTTTCTTCGAATTCGTCGCCGTCGCGTTCGTCGCTCGGGTCGGGCGAAAGGGGGGGATAGCAAAGGGGGGGTTTGAGAATCAGCTCACGTAGCTGGTTTTCCCGGCGCCTTCCGGCGCCAGAGGCGGCCATGTGTCGAGGAATGGGCCCCCTCGGCGAGGCCGAAACCAGCTGCATGCAGCAAATTTCGTAACCCCCCCTTTCCCTATCCCCCCCTTTCGTCCGGCCCGAGTCGCGTCGTCGTCATCGCGGCAGCCGCCGCCGTGACGGCGCCGGCGGCGATGACGACGTCACGGCGGCGCCGTCGTCACGGCCGCAGTGACGGCGGCGGCGGCGATGACGACCACGGCGGCGCCGTCGGCGTCGGCGTCGGCGTCGTCGTCGTGGTCGTGGTCGTGGTCGTCGTTGTCGTCGTTGTCGTCGTCGTCGTCGCTGTCGATGTCGTCGCCGTCGTCGTCGTCGTCGTCGGCGGCGTCGTCGACGTCGTCGTCGTCATCATGTTCGTTCGTGCGTCGTCGTGGTCGTCTTCGTCAGCGTCGTCGCGGTCGTCGCCGTGCTCCCCGCCGCCATCGTGCTCGCTTGTGTTCGCTGGAGCGTGAGAGGAGGGGGTTCTGACCCCGCCGACCCTCGGAGGGGGGTGGGGCGGGCGGGCGGGCGGGCGCTCGATCCCCATTTTCGTGAAGGGCGAGGCTGGGACTGCCAAGGGAATCTGGTGGGGGATGGGCCGGCCAGGGCCCCCCGCCCCTTCCAGCGACCAAGCAAGTGACTCTCTCCGATGATAGATTCCCAGGCCGACCGAGAGGCAAGAGAGCAGCCCACAGGGGTCGAGTGCTAGGCAGGAGAAGCCAGAGCGTAAAGCACCTCCTCCCCCTCCCCCTTCTTCGTCTTCCGCCCGCATCTTCCCCATCGGCCCCCGCCCGATCATAAGCGGTCCTTGCGCTTGCCAGCAGCCAGCTCGTCGATCCCTGGCCTGCCCTCCTCGTCCTTCCTTCCTCGTCTCCATGCCGCTCCCCTCCTCTTCCCCCCCATCCATTGCACCTGCCCCTCGCCTCGTCGTCGCCGCCCTCCACCACGGTCACCACCTCTGCCTCCACCTCCGTCTTCACCTCCACCAACCACTTCCGCCTCCACGCTGTCATCATCGCCCTCGTCCTCGTAATCGTAACCGTCGTCGTCCTTCTCTTTCCGCTCATCCCGCCAGCATCGTCGCCAATTCTGGCGCAGACAGCGCCGCAATGGCTCCACCCCGGGGGCCCTGCGAATTTCGCGCGTGCAAATGCAACGGCGGCCTGCCAACTTGCCACCGGGCGCCGGCGACGCTGCGCTCGGCCTTGACGGGCAATGAGTGGCCCGAGGGGTGTGCGCTTGCTGACTGCAAACGGCCCCAGAAAAAGGGGGCCCACTGCGGGCACGGACCCTCGCGGCGTCGACTTGCCGACCTGCGTTCGGGGGGGCGCCGCTGCGCCGCAGCAGCCACGGTGGCGCCCGATGCTCGCCGCATGTGGCCTGCGCGCTGCCTCGAAGGGCAGGGGGCCCGAAGGGGGCACCCGCGGGGGCGCATGGGGAGGTGCGCGGCGCGTGCTCCTCACGGATCCTCGTAGATCTCGAAGTCGTACCTGGGGGGTGGAAGCGGAGCGACGGCGTCGGTGGGGGGGGCGGGGGGCGGGGGAGGGCGGGGAGGGGGAGCTTGAGGAGAAAATGGCCGGGCAATATTTTTTTCCGTCGTAGCGCGGCAGAGGCAATCCGTGCGCGCGTCCGATGAAATCGGGGCACGGGGTCGCGAATTGGCCCACGTGCAAAGAGGGGGGGGAAGAGGAGGCGGCCGCGAGAAAGGGGGGGGCCGGCGCGGGGGCGCACTCGCGCAGCGGGGCTGCAAGTGGGGCGCGGGCGCGGCGAGGCTGAGGGTCCGATCTGGCGGCGGCTGCGGGCCAGCTTCGCAGCGCGTCCCGGGTGGGGGGCCAGCAGCCACAGCGCGGGCGTGGCCCAACAAGCGAGAGAAAGAGAGAGAGAGAGAGAAACATATATATATATATATATATATATATATACATTTACAGATGCCTATACCTATACCTATACCTATATATATAAGAGAGAGAGAGAGAGAGAGAAATATAGAAAACAAAAAGGATATATTCAGAAAAAAACAACAAAGCAAACAACGATAACTATATATACATACGTCTATATATAGTGAGAGAGAGAGAGAGAGAGAGAGAGAGAGAAAGAGAGAGAGAGAGAGAGAGAAAGAGAGAGAGAGAGAGAAAACAAAAAAACAGACAAAGAGAGAGAGAGAGAGAGAGAGATAGAGAGAAACAATATTTATAAACAAAAACATACAAACAAAAAGCAAAGTGAAAACGGCGGCCGCTGAAAACCAAGTGGCCCGGAAGGGCGGGTGGCTGCGGCGCGGGGCCGGCGGCCCCAGGCGGTGGAGGGCGCGGCGGCCCCGCGGGGGGGCGGCCGGCCGGCTCCAGGCAAGGGGCGCGGCGGGGGCAATGGCGAGAGCGGAGGTGGGGGCGCCGGCCGCTCTGCGGCCGGCGCGCGGCGTCGCGGCGCGGAGCTGCGCGGCGCCCAGTGCAAGTGGCGCGCAGGCGGGGCCCTCGGAGTGGGGGGGCGGGCCCGGCCGGCCGGCCGCCCAGGGCGGCGGCGCGGGCGAGGCGGGGGCGGCGGTGGCCCCAGCGACCCCGGCAAATCCGCCGGCGGCGCAGGAGCTGCGGCCAGCGCGCGCCCTCGGGGCGGGGGCGGCGCGCGGGAGAGCAGGGCGCCGAAGGCCAGCGCGCGGCATCGCGGCCTGGGACGTCCACGGTCTAGCCGCGCCGCGGAGCCGACCGGGGGGGGGGGGGGGGGGCGCTGCGCCAGCGGCGGCCGCGGCGGCAGTGCGTGAGGTGAACCGCGCGACGGCCGAAACGAGGAGCAGCGGGCGCCGCGGACAGGGACAGGGCCCCTGCTGGTCGCGCAGACTGCAGGGGGCAGCGCAAGGCGGGGGCGGCCCTGCGCTGACTCGCTCGGCGAGAGGCGGCAGGCCCGAGGCTGGGTGGGGCGGGGGAAGCGGAGGGGTGGCCGCCCGGGCGCGACCCCGAACTGCCTGGGCTGGACGATGCGCGGGGGCCGAGGCAGTGGGCGCGCTTTGGCGGCGCGGCGGGGAGCACCCAACTGGCGCGAGTGCTGGTGGGGAGAGGTAGCGGGCGGCGCCCTCCTGGGCTGGCAGGGCACAACCGCCGCCGCGGGCAGAGCCATGTGGGGCGGATCGCCTGGCTGGCGCGCGTGCTGGTGGGAAACAGGGGGGCGGTGGTCTCCAGGGGTTGGAAAGCCGCCCGCAGTCGCCGACGCGGCCGGGCAGGCGAGTGCCCCACTCTGGGGCACAGGCCGGTGGACGAACTGGCGCTGGCCATGGTGCGCGCTTCGCCTTTGCGGGGGCTTCGTGTATTGGAAGACCCCTGACGCAACCAAGTAACCGCGCAGACGGACCTCTCTGGTGCGCTTGCTGGTGGAGATTGCATGCAGAGCGCCCGGGTTGGGCGCCTGTGAGCGCGCGATGCTGCGGGCCCTGGCGCGCCCTTCGGGGCGGCGTCCTATCCGCTCGGCCCCCCCCTGCTCGAGGAATCCTTGCAGCCGGGATTGGTCTCCCACGGGCCAGGTTAGCTCGCCGTGCCTGCTGCCGCCCTACCCCGCGCCGCCCGCCTGCCCCCGCCCGCTCTGCTGCTGCCGCCAGACAGTGTCCCGATCCACGTCCGCGCGTCGGTCGTTGCAGAGACTCCGGCTGTCGTGGTCCACCGTGGCCAGCTCTTCCACTGCTGCCCGGAAGAGTATTGCAGAAAAAAAGCCAACGATCATAAAGCTACCTTCCCAACCAAGAAGCATCACTTGCAAGTCGCATCTATGGCGTTTCATCTGGACCCCCACCAAGAACCCATTGGATTTCACCCCCGCTTTTTTTCAATCCCGCGCGCCAGGCCGCGCAAGGCGGGGGGCGGCGGCGGCTTCGGGCCGACCAACACCGCGGCTGGGTGCCTATAGCTAAAGTCGGGCCTGTCCCCCCACGGGGGGATTTTCGACGAAAAAAAGGAAGTCGCTAAAAATAATCAAACAAAAATCAAAAAATAGCCTGGGAGCTTTTTTTTGTTATTGGTTATTAGACCCTTTGGGGGTCTTCTTTGGGCATGCTTTATTTTTCATTGAAAATCCCCCGGTGGGGGGACAGGCCCGACATGGGCCTATGAAGCGCTGGCCAGGAGACGCTTGGTTTCAGGAGGTGGCATCGCGCAGCGCGTTGGGCCCCAGGATCTGCAGGAAGGCCGCCAGGGCGCCCTCGTTCAGACGCGCGGGCACCTTGGCGACGCCATGAGGGGGGCGCCGGGGGAAGTCGCCCGGGGCGGCGCGGTGGACTGGCCAACGGCGCATTCTAACAAGTGCGCATGGCGGAGCTGCAGGCGCGCCTTTCCCAAGCCGATGCGTCCCGGCCCAGGTGGCCCGCCGCTCGAACGCGCCCGTCCCCCGCGAACCGACCTAGGAGGATGTGCCCGAGGGGATCTTCCCCGGCGGCTGCGGGCGCTGCGTTGTCGGCGTTCTCGGGCAGGTGCCCGGGGCAGAAATTGACCCGGTGCAGGTTGGTGTCGGGGCCCTAGTCGACCTTGATGCAGCCGGCCAGGCGGGCCAGCTGGGGGTTCGTCAACTCGACGAGCTGACGCTCTGAGAAAGGGCAGCGCCGGGGGGGAATGGCCAGGTAGGGCGGGCGGGCCGCCATCCAGGCAGTCGGCCCTCTCTGCTTAGCTCTGGTCGCCGGCGCGGTGGCGGGCGCGCGGCCGGGGCGCCCCCCGCCCGGCCGACGCGGCTGCCTGCGCCCGTGCGCCCGCCGAGCTCGCTTCCGGGGGGGGGCCTCCTGCGCGCCGCGGGCGGGCAGCCGCTGCTGTTGCCAAGCTGCGCCGACGTCTCACTCAGGGGCCTGCCAGGGCGTCCTGGGCGCCCCGCCCTCGCGCCTCCCTCGGCGCTCCCCCGCGGACCTCCCGTGTCGCAGTGGAGCTGTGCTGGCGGCGCCCTGCGTGGCCCCCGGTGCGCGCGGGGGGGCCGACGTCCGCCTCCGCCCGCGCTCGAGGATCCTCGAGCGCGGCGGGTGCTCGAGCGTCTCCACTCTCCCGCTCTCCCTGGGCCGTGGGCCGCGCGGCGGGTGCTGCTCGGTTGCAGCCCTGCGACGCTGCGCCCAGCGCCGCCTCGGCCCTGGCCCCGCGGTCTGTCTCAGAGGCTGGCCCTCCTTCCTTATTGGCGGCAGTGCCCGCCGGGCTCTCCCAGATCTGCAGCGGGTCCTGTCTGGGGTCGTCTACCCGGGTGGCGGCGCGCCGAGCCCTCTGGAGCTCCTTCCCGAGGTCGCGAATGCCGTCGGTGGAGGGCGCCGACGCGGCTGCCGGCGGGTTCGTTTCCAGGCGGGCTGCCGGGCCGACCGTGGGAGGCGCGGCGTGGGCGGGTGAACGGGCACCCCGCCCCTTGCCTGAATGGCCCGAACGTTTAATGGCCGCGCGTCCCAGATGTCCACGCGGCAGCGGGCGCAGTGCCACTTGGCGTTCCACGCTCTGCCCGGAACGCGCCCCCCCGGTCAGGGAAACGCGGCGGGCCGCGCGCCGGGTCCGAGGCGGCAGCGTTGGCGCCGTGCCGGGGCGGGTCGGGGCGGAAGGCGCGCGCCCCAGGCGGGGCCTGTCCTGCCTTCCTTGCCAAGGCTGGTTCTCCCAGGGGGCATCCGTCGCGCGCGGCCGCGCGCCCTGTCTGTCCTGCCTGCCCGCCGGACCTGTCCTCGTCGACGCGGTGCCAGGGAGTGACTGGCGCCGACGGCGCTCGGGCAGTGGGCCCGCCTGGGGAAGCAACAGGTCCGCCAGGTGCGCGTCGCCTGTCGGGTTGCTGACTGGGCGGCCCAGCGGCGTGGTTGTCTGGCGCGGGCGTCGCCGGCATTCCTTTCCTGCTCGTCGAGGTCGCGCAGGTAGGTGCCGAGCTTGCCACCCTCCGGGACGGGGCGCGCCCGCGCCCGCAGCTCGCCCTCCCGCAGCACGCCCCTCTGCGGTGGGCGGTCTTACGGTTGGCTGCCAGTAGCTGCGCGGCCTCGGCCGAAACCCAGGGCCCGCCGTCGATGCCGAAGCCGGTGCCGCAATCGTCGCACCAAACGACGTCGCTTTTCGAATGCTTGCTGGTCTCGAAGCGGACGTCGTCGCGCAAGGCTGGTGGATCTAAGGCAACGTCGGGCAGCGGGGCGCTGGGGGGGTCCGCCAATAAGTCGCGCCCCGAGCTGGGCGCCCCCCTCCCGACGTAGTCCACGGCCCAAGCCTGCGTCAGACTGGCCAAGTCGCGCAATCCGACGTCCGAGCCGGCAAGGCCGTAGACAGAGCGCACGCGGCGCAGTCGCGGGCCTCGAGCGCGCCTGGGTCGGCGAATTCCACGAACGCGCCCAAGTGCCAGGAGAGAAGCCTGCAGCAGGTTGGCGCAGAGATCCATGACCCCCCCGGTAGTTGGGCGGCCTCTCTGCCTGGCGACTGGGTGGTGATGGGGAGGCGCAACCAGGCGGCCGACCGCGAGCAGGTCTTCGACTCTGCCACGAAGCGTGATGAAATCCTTGGGCTGCATGCCATGATTGGTGCCAAACCTTTCCGGGATGGGCGTGCGCGCGTGGTTCCAAGGCTCGCAGAAAGCGAAGGCAACTTCCAATGTGTCCCTTGTGGGGCCAGGCTTGCCGCAGGGGTGCAGATGCACTCTGGGTGCGCGGATCGCGGTGAGCACGATGGCCAGCAGGTTCGCACCCCAAAAAGAAATGGGGGCTTGTGGTGCTGCCCCTGCTGCTCCCAACCGCCTGCGGGCGGCCCAAGAATCGCCGAGGTAACTGGCTCTGGGTTGCCCAGTGTGGCGCCGACAACGGCAGGTGGTGCTGCTCCAGCAACCAGGCGGCTGGCGTGGAGCCCCGTGGGGGAACCGTGCCGCCCTTTCTGCGCCAGTCGTTGCTGGGCCCCCTTCAATTTAGGCTCAGGAGGAAGCTACTCTTCTGCCAGGTGTGCCTCTGGGGCGTCGTCCTGTCGTGGGCCTCCCAGGTGTAGCAGCGCCGCCCAAGTTGCGGTGTAGACGTAATTCGTAGGGTCCAGTCCCAGCTCCAGGTGGTAGCCGAATACCGGGTTATAGGAAACCGTCGTGGCAGAGCAATTTCCTGCAGTGGTCCGCCAGGTCTAGGGGCACGTCGCCAGGTCCTCACATGCGCGGGTGGGGGCTCATGACGTAAACGAAGACTGGGGCGAAACCTGGGTCCATCAGCGGCCGGGTCCTGGCTTTCTGCAGGTCCTGGGCCAGGGCGTCCCAATCGTGGTTGTCGGACAGTGACGAGGTCAACCAGGGTGGCGAAACCGAGCTGTTACTGATGGCGCATGTTGGCGAAATTCCTGTCCCTGGCCTTGCGCGCTTGGTTTCAGCCAAGCACTTGGTGGGCATGTTCGTTGTTTTGTTGGGACCTGCAAGAGGCCGACTGCCCACCCTGGGGGGTCTCATTGCGTCCATAGATCCAAGATCGCTGCAATCGTCTTGGTCCTTCACGTGCCGGGTGGCCCGTGTACCAGGAGGATCATGCAACCCAGGGGCTCGGCGAAGACTGCGGTTTGGGCAACGTTGAGCTGGTTGTTGTTGGCAACTTTCTGGACGTGGGCGCGGCCCAAGGCCGGGAGGATCCTGTGGAAAACGTGCCCCGTGCAGATCACAACGTCGTCGTCGCTGGGGCCGTTTCCGCCAGGTGCCGCGTCGGAAGCCCTTAGGGCCGTACGGGCTCCGGGTCAGGTATCTCCACCGCCAAGGTAGAGGCTGCTTGTGACCTGAACGCCCGCCCTGCCGCAACCATGGCAGCAGTTGAATTGGCGGTTTTATTGATTTTCCAGCTCGGGGCATCGTAGGGCCACGGCGTACTTGATCACTGGCAGCGAGGTAACCCGTAGCCTCTCCAGCTCGGCGTACAGCAGGTGCACGTGGTCGATCTCCGACCACGCCCGATTGGTCTGAACCTGGGCGTGGCGAGGTCAAGCCAGTACCACGCAGCGTCTGGTCTGGTGGGCCTGGTTGCTGTGTTCTCCAGGTAGAAAGCCCACCTTCTGGCGTCGACCTTTGCGATCGTGATCCTGGTCGGGTACCGCCTGGGGATGCTGCGGGATGATTGACTAAATGAATACGGGAGCGACTATAACATGGATTTGCCCTAACATTGAGACCCTCTTCGGATATACAGAGATCGTATATAATGCATACCTACGGGCGTTTCAAGCATTCTTCGTCTATCCGACGAACTATTAAATTGTCACTCCACCGACCTTGTAGACGTGCTGCAGCGGATTTCGCGTGGATTTCTGGCAGTGCAAAACCCCGAATCGGCGAGCGAATAACGCAATTCATTTCGCGTGGACCTCTTATTACTCTTCATTCCTCGCCATTCAACACGCGAAATTCGCCTCGAAATCCAGAGCGAAATTCTCCAGCACACTCCGGGCCCATCCTGTCGTTTTCCGTGCGAAATCCGCTCTGCGATGTTGGCGCCATGATAAGCGGATTCAATGCGCTTTCGTAGGTCCGCGCGGATTTCTCGGACCGGCGCTGAACCCCGGCCGCGGCGCCCAGTACATCCTCCAAACCCGCAGATTCTCAGAGATTTCGAGTTATCCCGATCCGATGTTGTCCCGATCTTCGCGTCGTTTTACCCCCTCCCTTGCCCGCGGGGGCGCGGCGCCGCATGCGCCTCCAGAGGGGGCGAGCCTCGCGCCGACCCGAGACGCCTATGTGCGGACCTCCGAGCGCTACTCTTTTACGCGGTCTTCGTCCTCGAAGGGTGGCAGGGAAGGAAGCAAGGCCAATTGAGACAGCGGCGGCTTTCCCGCCCGGCCCCCAATCCACTGGCGGCGGCGAGCGACGGGGGGGGAAGTGAGAGGGAGAAGGCCTCCTCAAAAGGTTCGGAAGTCCCCCCGGCCGTCCGAGAAGTTGTCCCTGGGGACAGGAAGAGACTTCCCAGAAGGCGCGAGGGCTTCTGAGAAGTCCCGCCGCCTTGTGAAAAGGACTTCTCGTTATAATTCCCCCTCCTCGCTCGCCGACGAGAGAGAAGGTCTTTCCCGATGCGTAACAGGAGGAGAAAAAAGGGGGAGGAGGAGGAGGAGGAGGAGGAGGAGGAGGAGGAGGAGGAGGAGGAGGAGGAGGAGGAGGAGGAGGGGGAGGGAGACCAGTGTAAACCCAAGAGCCATCAACGATGTTGGAATTAACCTTCCCTCCAAGCCCCCCTTCAAAAGCCCCTACAATTCTTCATTTCCATTGAGGGAGCTGCCTCGTTGAAGGACATCCGTTTGAAGATCCTGAAGCATACCAAAGCATTGTTCTCGGGATTTCAACGCCACGGCTCAGCCTGACTGCTGCGTCTTGAGGATCTTGAACCGCGAAACAGCATCTGCGCCCGCATAATCTTGAACCCTTCCAGAACATCATTTCTGGTACGCTGGTCACCGGAATCCGTGAAACTCCTGCATTTTGAATCGAATTTGCGCGGCGCTTAGGCGAAAACCACATGTTAAAAAGACATCGCTCTCAATCCGTGAAGCTCTTTTTAAATTTTGAAGCGAATGTTCGTGG